AAATACCAAAACATATAAAAAAGATAGTGCACCATGATCAACTGGGGTTCATCCCAGGGATGCAAGGTTAGTTCAACGTAAGGAAATCAATAAATGTAATTCATCACATCAATAGACTTAAAGATAAGAACCATATGATCATCTCAATAGACGAAGAAAAAGCATTCGATAAAATACAGCACCCTTCATGTACAAAACACTAGAAAAACTAGGGAAGACAAGAACATATCGCAACATTGTAAAAGCTATCCATGCTAAGCCCCAGGCTTACATCATTCTAAACAGAGAAAAACTGAAAGCATTCCTTTCTTAAAACTGGAACAAAACAGGGATTACCTCTTTCACCACTTCTATTTAACATAGTTCTTGAAACACTGGCCAGAGCAATTAGAAAGACGAGAGAAATTAAAGGGATACAGATAGGAAAAGAGGAACTCAAATTACCACTATTTGCCAATGATATGAATCTATACCTAGAAGACCCAAAAAATTCCATCAGAAAACTTCTAGAACTAATAAATGAAATCAGCAAAGTAGCAAGATACAAAATCAACTCCCATAAATTAAAGGCATTTCTGTATATCAGTGACAAATCCTCTGACAGGGAAACAAGGAAAACTACCCCCATTTACAACAGCCTCAAAAAAAATGCTTGGAAATCAATCTAATGAAAGAGGTGAAAGACTTCTACAATAAAAACTACAGAACACTAAAGAAAGAAGTTAAAGAAGACCTTAGAAGATAGAAAGATCTCCTTTGTTCTAGGATAGGCAGAATTAATATTATCAAAATGACCATACTACCAAAAGCACTATACATATTTAATGCAAGTCCAATTAAAATTCCAATGACATTCCTCATAGAAATAGAAAAAGCCATCATGAAATTCATCTGGAAAAATAAAAGACATGGAATAGCCAAAGCAATCCTTAGCAAGAAGAATCAAGCAGGTGGCATCAGTATACCAGACTTTAACTATATTACAGAGGAATAGTAACAAAAACAGCATGGTATTGCAGCAACATAGACTGGTAGACCAATGGTACAGAATAGAGGTCACAGAGACAAACCCACATAATTACAGTTATCTTATATTAGACAAAGGTGCCTGCCACAGTCTGGCTGGGCACACAATCACGAGCCACCACACAGCTTGTAGATTCAAACAGCAACTCTTTATTCCCGAACTCACACCAGCCGTCTACAATCACGTTCTGGGGAAATCCACGTTCTCTGCCCAAATCCACCTCCACTGGGCTTCTATCTCCCAAAAAATACTGTCTGAATCCCGTGAGAACTCAAGGGGAACTCAGGCAGCAGGATACGCCCTATTCCCAGCAGGAATAATCTTAAACCTGGAACGCCCTAAACCCAATTATCCTAAACCGGGAACACCCTAATCCGCCCTGGTCCTTGAGCAAGGTCACCTACATACCAATGAGTATGATGGCAAAGACAAAGACTAACAATGTTTTCCACCAGGAAGTACCAAGAACCAGGACCTAAGATATGCAATGTCACTGCAAAATGTCCTATTTCCACGAGTCCTTCCACTAAGCAACATGGGGTACGCTGGCAAGGAAATTGTCATACCTATTTGGCTAATGGCTCCCAGCAGGTGCCAAAAACATACATTGGAGAAAAGATAGGCCCTTCAACAAATGGTGCTGGGAGAACTGGAAATCTGTATGCAACAAAATGAAATTAAACCCCTATCTCTCACCATGTACAAAACTCAGTTCAAAGTGGACCCAGGACCTAGGAATTAAACCAGAGACCCTGTGTCTAATAGAAGAAAAAGTAGGCCCCAATCTCCATCATGTCGGATTAGGTCCCTATTTCCTTAATAAGACTCCTATAGTGCAAGAATTAAAAGGCAAGAATTAATAAACAGGATGGATTCAAACTGAAAAGAAAGAAACAATCAGTGAGGTGACTAGAGAGCCTACATCTTGGGAGCAAATTTTTACCACTTGCACATCAGAAAGAGCACTAATTTCTAGGGTATATAAAGAACTCAAAAAGCTAAATACCAAAAAAACAAATAACTCAATCAATAAATGGGCCAAGGAACTGAACAGACACTTCTAAGAAGGTGATATTACAATCAATTAACATATATATGAAAAAAATGTTCGACATCTCTAGCCATTAGAGAAATGCAAGTCAAAACTACTCTAAGATTTCATCTCACTTCAGTAAGAATGGCAGCTCTTAAGAATACAAACAATAAATGTTGGTGAGGATGTGAGGGAAAAGGCACATTCACACATTGCGGATGGGACTGCAGAATGGTGTAGCCGATCTGGAAAGCAGTATGGAGATTCCTTGGAAAATTTGGAATGGCATCACCATTTGACCCAGCTATACCACTCCTTGGTCTATATCCAAAGGACTTAAAAACAGCATACTACAGGGACACGGCCACATCATTGTTTACTGCCGCACAATTCACAATAGCTAAACTGTGGAACCAAACTAGATGCCTGTCAGTAGATAAATGGATAGGAAAACTTTGGTATTAACACACAATGGAACATTACTCAGCATTAAAAGAGAATAAAATCATGGCATTTGCAGTTAATGGATGGAGTTGGAGAATATAATGCTAAATGAAGTTAGCCAATCCCTCCAAACCAAATGCTGAATGTTTTCTCTGATATAAGGAGGCTGATTCATAATGGGGTTGGGAGGGGAAGCATGTGAAGATTAGGTGAACTCTAGATAGGGCAAAGGGGAGGGAGGGGAATGAAGGGGGCAAGGGGTGTAAAAAAGATGGAGGAATAAAATGGACATCATTTCCCTAAGCATATGTATGAAGACACGGTTGGTGTGAATATACTTTATATACAATTAGAGATATGAAAAAATGTGTTCTATATGTGTAATGTGAATTGTAAAGCATTCTTCTGTCACATATAACAAATTAGGATTAAAAAAAATTTTTAAAAAGCTTTCATTAACCCAAAATTAGATTAAGATTTATTTCTATTTTCTTCTAGTTAAAAAAAATATTTTGATACAAATTTAAAAGGATGAAAGATAAATGAGTAAGAAGTGTTCAAAGGTTTGGAGTGAACATAAATGATCATGATATGTATTATGTAAAATATTATAATAATATTTGACATACATATTAAATATGCTCATGTTTGTACTTTTTCTTAAATAAAATACATTTTGTACTTTTACTTAAAGTTGATTAAATTTTCAGTAATATGAAAAGCAAAGATGATAGTATAGCCATGTAAGCATCACTGAGATCAACCAAGGAAACACTGAAGATAAAACTGGGACCACTAGTGTACTTCTGCCCAGTTCTATTACTTTTTCTTTCTGCCCACAGGTAATCTCTGGTAAGGGTTTATTTTTACTGAGGATGTTCTTTCCACATAGGTTTGTATTGCAAAGCAATGTTTCCTTTTGTAGTTCAGAAAACAAGTAATTATGCATTTTTGTCTGTGATTATGTTTTGTATATTTTACTATTAAATTTAATTAGAATGAACAAATAATATTATACCACATTTTTTAAAAAATTTTTTCTCTTCGGTTCATGGAGAATGGAATCCACCCTCCCTTTTTATTTCATTCCAGATTTGTCGCTTTTATTTTGTTTCCCTGTAACGTGCAAATCTAAAACCAAAATGTGGTATACGATGAATATTTTAGATAAAAATGTTAGCATATGCCCCACATGTCTCTCATTGTGTCTGTATAAAATTGAGACATTCATTTATATAGCATTGTTTCCATAACCTATGCATATTATATTTGATGTATGTAGATATTCGAAGCAAAATATATTGTAGATATAGTGTCTTTCACTGACTGAAACTTAAAGTATTTTAGCAGTAACAGCAAGAACATAATGAATCTTGAGTTTATAATGTGAGTTGGTAGAAAATTAAGGCTCTGCATAGTTTCTGAATAAATGTGTTTCAAGAAATAAAAAAAAAATATTTTAAAAAAATTGAATTCCCCGTCTATTAGGTAGAAAATCCCAATTAAATTCATGGGCCTCTCTTTGGGTTATGAAGGATCTTTCACAATCCCTGTTTTGAAGATATAGGCACTCATCCCAGATCCCTCCTTCAGATTTTGGGATCCTCTTCTCAGTCTCTGTGCCTTTTGCATCTCCATCATTTTGCTTTCACAGAGCCACACTGGAGCTTGAGTCTTTTCGGAGGCTTTCCTCGTACCACAGAATATTTCCCTGTCTGAAATCTTGCGACCTGTTTCAGGAAACTTGAAACACAGGCATTGTACCATTGCTCTGGGTATTCCTTCTTAATCTTAATGGTTGACTTCCGGCCCTGTGGTTTTGGTCTCAGATTGGTTTAGGGGGTTTAGTCACATAAAAGCCGACGACTCTCAAATCCTAAATCCAGTACCAGCTCCATATTTGGAGCATGGTTAAAAAGAGAACGTCCAGTAGCTCTTAAATCTAATAGCTCATTGGATATATGTCAGGAGCTTTTGAAACTAGAGTGGCTCCCACTTCTAACTCTGCAGCATCAGAATTTGTCTTTTTGACAGTCATGGGAGATCAAGAGTAAATTTTCGAATTTCTCGCTGATGAACCTGGGGCTGGCCCCGCTTCAACCTCCTTTTCCATGAAAGTCTCCCAATTATTTTTCCAGTAGTCAGTCCCCCCTTCTTGGTCTCCTTCCTTTGGCCTTGCCCTCACCTTCCAGTTTGTCGCTGCTGCAGCTGCCTGCCAGCCTTTAGGCGCCCTTTACCCGGCCTGCTCCCGGCTCCCAGCCCCGCCCCTCAGTTCCCGGTCCCCTCCGACCGCCGGCTCCTACCTAACCTTCTACCGCCCCTTACTCTCGGCTCGAGGCTACCACCACTGAGCCACGCCCCCTTCCTCCCAGCCCGGCTCCCACCTTCCAACCCCGCCTATCTCCTGGCCTAGTCGCTGCTTTGCCCTCTCTTCTCGGCTTCGCGCTCCTAGTCTTATGTCCCTCCTCACCATCCGTAAAATATTCAACCCTCACATTTTGTCGTAACAGTTCTTACGCTTACTCTGCGCCGGAAGGAGCGTTAGAGTGCTTTTGCTAGTATGGCGGCGGTGGATATCCGAGGTGATTTATCCCGTTATACTTTTTTTCCCTGATTGTGGACTGATTTGGGGGTTTGTAGCTCGCGGGGAAAGTTTAGATTCCTTGGTCAGGTCCCTCAGGTTCTTTTGGATCATTTTTATGGACGACCCAAGGCTCTAATCTGGCGAAAAGATAACAAGAGTTTTCCCTCAGTTCTTGACGAGTCTCTTAAAAGCGTTGAAGGGGAGGAATTTGAAGCAACCGTAGGCTTTGAGCCTTCAGAACTGCTGTACTGTTCTACACTTCTATCTCTGCAGCAATACTGGGGCTGTTATATCGGGGCGAAGAGGTGGCCTCTGGGCAGAGGGGAATGGTATAATCAGCCGACTTGATATGATTGATATCTTGGGGGCTTGTCCTGAGGTCACCTTATTTTCCCCCCAGTTCTTTTTATTGGTGCATTATAATTGTACATAATGGTGGGATTTGTTGTTACATATTCGTTATGCACAGATTATAACAATATAATTTGGCTAATATGACTCCTCGACACTTCCTCCTGCCTCCCCGCCTCTTACTCTCTTGTTAACTTCCTCTGTTCTACTGATCTCCCGATTTTCATGAGATTCTCTCCCCTCTTTTCCCTTTTCCTCTTTTGCTTCCACATATGAGAGAGAACATACGACCCCTTCACCTTATTTGGCTTAACATGATGATATTTAGTTCCATCTATTTTCCTGCAAATGACATAATTTTATTTTTCTTTATGTGCCGGGGTCCTGTCCTAGTGGGGTCCAGGGAGTCCTGAAGGATGAGTGGCGTCGGCGAAAAGATGAGACAGGAGTCGTTCCATTGGAGCAATCTCCAGAGAGAGAGCTCTAATGCAGCTTTCTCTGGGTCATCTTTTATTACAATTTTTCTCATCATTATAGATTCAGAATAAGTCATTGATTATATAATTTAAAACTTTGCCAAGACATGACATTTCCTTAACCATGATTGGGAGTACAAGAAAAATGTAACATTAATTTACATTTTTCCAGGATATGATCTTTAGTTATTTAATTATTAAAAGTACAGAATCATTAATAAAATACGTCACTAATTTACATTTTTCAGATTTTCCCAAGATTTACTATTTTCCCCAAGATATGCTATTTTCTTATTAACTAATGCCAAACTACGCAACCAGACTCTAAGTCTCCTAACCAATCATTAACCTTTAAGTTTAAAGTACACTTGTACTTTATCTAAAATTCCCATCTAAAGAAGTCCCCTTAAATCTTATACTTAAAACATCCTAAAGTTTATAAATCATTTTTTAAAACATATCAGAAACCCATACAACTAAAAACTTAAGAATTTCTAAACTTAAGAATCTAAATAAAATAATATTTCTATCATTATTCTGAAACTGTGTCTTATAAAACTATTTTAATTCCTAAATTTATTCTCATAAAACTGGTTGAGCTGCTTTCTCAAAGAGTTTCTTTGTTTCTCAGTCAAGGTGCACTAGTTCTCATATCTTTATAATCTTTCTCAATAGAAAGTAAGTTCTAAACATCAATCCACTTTTCACCAATATTAACTGTGCTCATCATAAATCCTTATGTAAAGTAAAAAAAGGTTTATAAAAAGAGAAGAATATATCTTTATATGTTTTAACTTTCCTAAGTGTATAATATAATTTTCTTTAATCAAAAATGAGACTATATGTGGTGAGCTTTGTAAAATAAGCATAATTAGGTTTTCTAAGAGGCCGGAAATATGGGCTTGGGTTCTAGTTGATATAATCAATGTGATGCCTAAAATTCTCATGACCTTTCAGAGGATGATTGTTGTCCATTATCAGATTTGTCCTCAATGTACTGAGATAGAAGAACAGCCTTCTACTTTGTCCTTGATATGCTGAGGGGTAGTAGAACAGCCTCCAAGGCATGAACTACCTGTTATTTTTCAGCCATCTGAAATTTAATTTGTTTGGCATTTAACATGCTCATGCCTCCTGTCAGGAACATAAGCATGAAAATGAAAAGTCCCAGTTACATTTAAAAAAAAAAAAAAAAAAGGGTCTCATGGTTTTGGTTTCCCACCAACCAGCGCGGCTTTGCCAGCATTCATCCTCACTGTGACCCTGACAAGACAGTGGGAGAGCCACTTTGCCAGCTCTTTTTCTCACTGTGACCCTGTCAAGACAGTGAGTGGGGGATCGCCTTCACCATTTATGGCTGAATAAAACTCCACTGTGTATACAAACCACGTTTTCTTTATGCATTTATCTATCGACGGACATATAGCATGGTTCTAGAGTTTATAGCTATTATGAATTGTGCTGCTATAACATGGGTATGCGTGTAGCACTATAGTAGAATGACTTTAACTCTTTAGAATAAAACTATCCAGGAGTGGTATAGCTGGGTCATTTGGTGGTTCCCTGTCTAGTGTTTTCAGGAATCTCCGTACTGATTTTTATAGTGGTTGTACTAATTTACAGTCCCACCAACAGTATAAATGTGTCCCTTTTCCTCCACATACTCTCCAGCATTTATTATTTGTATTCTTGATGACTGCCCTTCTGACTGGTGTGAAGTTAAATCTCAATGTAATTTTGATTTACATTTCCCAAATTGCTAATGAGATTGAACATTTTCTCATATATTTGTTGGCCATTTATATTTCTTTTGAGAAATTTTTATTTGCCCATTTAGTAATTTTTTTTTTTTTTGGTGTTGAGGTCTTTATATATTCTAGATGTTAATCCTCTATCAGAAAAGTAGCTAGAAAAGACTTTCCCATTCTGTAGGTTCTCTATTAACATTCATAATTGTTTCTTTTGCTGTGAAAGTGTTTTAATTTGACACCATCCCACTTATTAACTCTTAGCATTATTTTTCCTATGGGAAAGTTGTTGCCTGTTCCTGTATGCTGAGTTATTGACCCTGTGTTTTCTTCTAGAAGCGGCATGGTTTCTGGTCTACTTCCTAGGTCTTTGATCCATTTTGGGTTGATTTTTGTGCTTGGTGAGAGATAAGGGTTTAGTCTTATTCTTCTACATATGGATAACCAGATTTCCCAGCACCATTTGTTAAAATGACTGTCTTTTCTCTCATGTACATTTTTTGTTGGGCCATTTTATTCTTTAGGTCATACCCCATGTGTGTCTGGATGGGAAGTGTTTCTGTGGTAAATTTTATTTTTGGGTTTGTAATACCTTCCATTGAACACCCACTAGTTATTGAGGGCAGGGTTGTTTCTTTTTCACAGCTGAACAGTAGAGGCATTCAAATATTTGTTCTATTAGTGAGTAAACATATGGAGATGTGACCTCTTAATTGCTTCCTTGATCTTGGGTAGCAGGAAGACTTTTTTTTTTTTTTTGGTTTATACTTGATTTTTGAAATGTTTGTGAGGCTGAGAGGCGCCTTTTTCTATGTTAATCAAATTGAGGTCTAGAAGACTTACTGATAGTTCTTTAGTGATCGTCAGCATTTCTGGATCATGTTTTTTACCTGTTTGTCTTTCATTGTAAGTGATCATTTCAAATGCCTACTTTGGTTACTTTCAGTTTGTTAGAATGCTGTACTTGAGCTATGTCAAAAGGCTGTTTTGCTGATGAGAGAAACATTTATTCCATACGACTATATTCAGATGTTTGGCTTTTGTGATGTTTTACTTTTTATTTAGATTTGTTAGGGTCATAGTAAAGGCTCTAAGATAGAAGTGTATCGTGTATTAGAGGAACAGCAAGAAGGTTGGTATAGCTAGGGGTGAAATAGAGATGATGTGGGAAGGAGATTGGATTAGAGGGGTGTCAGACTGGGGTAAGGTCTTTGGCTTTTCCTCTGAGTGAAATGGAGAGTCATGGAAGGGTTTCACTAGAGGGATGACCTGTTCTAACGACTTCTTCTTTTTTTTTCTTTCTCCTAAAAAAAATCACTTTGGCTGTTGAAAGCATTGAAGGAGGTCAAGAGTAGAATTAGAGAAATCCGTTAGTAGGCCACTTCTGCAATATGTGGCAATTAGGAGGTAGTTTTAAAGTAGAGTGTAACAATGAAGGTAGTAAGAAGTGGTTGCAGTCTTTATAAGGCTGTAGTCACAGATACTTTCCAAGTAGAAATAGATAATTATGTGGTTTTCTAGCTGTAGCCCATATTCTTAATATCAGCCATTTTGAAGATAAACATTCTTGAATATTGGAGTCTGTGTTAATGAGTTGAAAAAGATGTATGCTTACTAAAGCACATCATACTTGTCCTTGGCCCTCAGTCGTGAACTAATAAGCATTTGCTCATTACTGTGAATCAGGTCCTGTGAAAGTTGCTGATGAGTAAAAACTCAAAGAGTTTAATGGAAGCACATTTGTATTTCCAAGTTACAGGTATTAATAACAAAAACGTGCAAAAATTGCTGTTAAGGACAGAGAAAAAGCTGCCACCACCATCAACATATTTGAAATTTATTGGGCTATTACAGTGTGCTAAGTGTTTTACATATATAGTCTAGTATGTATAATTATAGATCCTACCTACCAACAATTATGGAGAATTAATAGGTAAGGATTTAAAATGATGAGAGCCTGGTAGAGAAGACAGTGGCAATGCTTAGAAAAGTAAAGACACACAAGAAACATTTTTAGGGAGAAAAAGAGACAATTTTCCTTGGAAATTAAAAGAAATGTGTAAGTAATTTTGTTATAAATAAACTTAATAATTGAACCATTGAATTTAAAGCTAATGATTATCCTAAATTGCCTTGCATTAGAAAAAACATCATTTTCAGAAAATGTTATTTCTTGTTCTGTTGTATATTTAGTTATGGCATGATATATTGATGATGAACATACTAATTATTTGGTCATCAGCATACTTCATCTGTTTGTCTCCACCTATGTTTTAGATCACACAAAGCATAGTTTACATTTTTACTTAAAATAAATATTTGAACTTTTTTTCATTTGATTTATTTTGCTCAACATTGCTTGTCACCTTGAATTTCTTCTGACTTCTTTAAAGATACCAGAAGCAATTGCAATATAGGGGATGCTGAAGTTTTTCAACTAGTATTATATAGATTTTTTTTTTTTTTTTTGGTACCAGGGATTGAACCCATGGGTACTTAACCACTGAGCCACATCTCCAGCCCTTTTTATATTTTATTTTGAGATAGGGTCTCACCGAGTTGCTTAGGGCCTCGCTAAGTTGCTGAGGCTGACTTTGAACTTGGGATTCTCCTGCCTCAGCCTCCAAGTGCTGGGATTACAGGTGTGTGCCACCATACCCAGGTTATATAGGTATTTTGATATTCACGATTTAGGCCTATTTATCATAGTCAGTAGACAATAAAAAGTCATTCATTCAAGGTGTCTATTTACTATGTCTTTTTAAAATTTAATTAATTCTACTCTGAAATATGAAACAATGTGATTATAAGAAGGGAATTTTACCTAATCATTTCCCCCCTAATTTTGACACATTATCATCTTGTCTATAATAATAGCTCCTAAACTTATTTGTTCCTATTGAGAGATCTCAAACTGTTGGCTGTGAATGTGTTTGAAATTTTTGAATTATATGCCAACAAATAAAAACTCAAAATTTACCTTTTGGAGGGGAGGGTATTGGAGGTTGAACCTGGGGGTGCTTTACCACTGAGCTGCATGCCCAGCCCTTTTTTTTTTTTTTTTTTTCGTTTTTCACTTTGAGACAGGATCTAGGTTACCTAGGCCTCAAAACTTGTGATCCTCTTACCTCAGCATTCCGAGTAACTGGGATTACAGGGATATGCCACCATGCCTGGCAGGATTTCCAATTAAAATATATATATAGGGGCTGGGGATGTGGCTCAAGCAGTAGCACGCTCGCCTAGCATGCATGCGGCCCGGGTTCAAATCCTTAGCACCACATAGAAACAAAGATGTTATGTCTGCCGAAAACTAAAAAATAAATATTAAAAAATTCTCTCTCTCTCTCTCTCTTTTTAAAAAAATATATATTTTAGTTGTAGATGGTCACAATAACTTTTATTTATTTTTATGTAGTGTTGAGGAACAAATACAGGGCCTCACACATTCTAGGCAAGCACTCTATCACTGAGCTACAACCCCAGCCCCAGGATTTCCAATTTTTAAAAAGAACTTTCTGGATCTCTAATCTTAATATTCCCTCACTTAATCAAATTACTCTTTAAACATATTTTACATATTCATGTATATACTATGTAAAGTAAAAATATATTAAACATATGCATATATTTTCATACCTTCCTGTGTTCTTTGCTTGTACCTTTTCCTCCATGTGATTCTCTGTTCTTTAATATAAAAGAGCTAAAACCCACCTCCCCTCAATGAAAAATCTAGGTATTCCCTAGGTATTCTTATCCTTCCTTGGTGCTTTCAAATTATTCATACCCTAATTCTAATACTTAGATATTCTAACACTTTATTTTGTGTTGTCATTGTTTTCTTGCATATTTCTCTCTTCTGTTTAGTACATAGATTAGTATTCATGTTATTCTTTTATTCATGGTGCCTGCTATATTAGATGCATAAGGATGTCTCGGATTAGATTCTTCTGCTTTTCTAATTCTTTATTATTATTTTTTCCCCCCTGTAGATAATCTCCTGGGAATCTCTTGGGTTGACAGCTCTTGGATCCCCATTTTGAACAGTGGTAGTGTCCTGGATTACTTTTCAGAAAGAAGTAATCCTTTTTATGACAGGACATGTAATAATGAAGTGGTCAAAATGCAGAGGCTAACATTAGAACACCTGAAGTAAGTTATTTTAAGAAGGTAACATCTTTGCGGACTAGAGATTTTTGTAGTACACATTCTTTTAAGTTGTGGATCATGAAGTACAAGATTTGGTAAAGAAACTGAAATTTTGTGTGCGTTTGTTATAAATATGACATTCAAGGAAATTATTAGAAGTCTCTTGTAACTTATAACTCTTCTAAATAACATAATGTTTACTTAAAATAATAACAAGTTTAAATGTTGCTCTGAGTGTTTTTAGCAATGCAGCTTCTTCTCAATCATACAATTGTGATTATTGTCCCCTTTAAATCTAATTTAATGTTTTCTGGTTTGTAATAGGTTTTTCTCTGTATGACAAATAAAGAAAATATAATTTTAGTTAAACACAAGCAAGATTCTTTAGACTTAGGATGCAAAATAATCAAGAATTTATTGCTATTAAAACATTTCTGAAACTATATATAATAATTCTGCATTTGTCCCCAAAATACTGTGGGGGTAGGTTTTAGGAAATTAATTTCTATGGCATTTTGAATGGCTTTTTGTTGCAGGTCAAAAAAATGTGTTGGGGTGAGGATAAGATCTTTGGTGTTTTGGATAAAATGTACAGTTGGGTCTTCATGTTTATTTTTTATATATATTTATAGTTCTTGATTAGGAAGCACCATAGTATTTTGAATGCCTTTTTGAAAAAGATACTTTCAGCTCACTTTTCTGCCTGAATTACTCAGATTTAAATTCATGCTGATTTTTAAAAAAACATTTATTTTTAGTTTTTTTTTTTAAGTGGACACAGTATCTTTATTTTACGTTTATGTGGTGCTGAGGATCAAACTCAGTGCCTCAAGCACTCTACCACTGAGCCACAACCCCAGTCCCTTATGGTGATTTTTTGTAGAAAAATTTTGTTGCTTAAAAATAAATCTTGCCAGGTGTAGTGGCACATGCCTGTAGTCGGTCTTGGGATCAGGGCTGAGGCAGGAAGATTGCAATTTCAAAGCCAGCTTCAGCAACTTAGCAAGGCCCTAAGCAACTCAGTGAGACCCTGTCTCAAAAAATTAGAAAGGACTAGGGATGTGGCTCAGAGGTTAAGCACCCTTGCGTTCAATCCCTGGTACCAAAAACAAAACAAAACAAAACAATCTAACTTTATATCACCTCTCTGGAAAAGCAGCCAGTTCTATTTGACTGCCAGGTTTTAACATCAAACATAGGCAGTTTTAATCCTATTTAAAATGTTGCTGCACTTTTAGATTGTTCTACAAAATTGTAGGCATTCAGAGATCTCTGGGTTTCTCTCTGTTTTAGTCAGATGGTTGGAGTCGAGTATATCCTTTTACATGCTCAGGAGCCCATTCTTTTCATCATTCGGAAGCAACAGCGGCAGTCCCCTGCTCAAGGTAAGATATGTAAACTTCAGGCATTATTTTCTTTAAAAATACCATTATTTATTTCTTATTTTTTGGATTGAGTTCTGTTTGCTGAGTCCCCAGGATCACATAATTTTCAGTATGTTGCTAGGTAGACCCATCAGACTCAGCTTGTGATTGTACTCATGGCTAAGATTTGTTATGACTACACAGTCATAACATAAGAATATGAATATATATTCATATTATATATGAATATGTATATGTGTGTGTGTGTGTATGTATATATATATATAAAAATAAATAAACATAAATAAGAATGCACAACCAGATTAGTAATGAAAAAAGATAAGGGAGAGTCTATATGAATCTGTGTGCAAATTTTCTGTGCTTTCCCTCTTGTGAGGAACCACACTAAGTGTGCTCTCCATTCACCAGTGAGATGTAGTCACATGTTTGTGTCTGCTCAGAGAAACCCATTTGAGACTCTGGACCCAGAATATTTTTTTGAGGATTCATCAAATAGGCATCCTCTACAGAATTCCAGACTCCCAGAAGGAAATCAGGTGCCTGCATACTCACTGTACATTTTTTCTGAGTAGGCTGGTAAAGCAGGCATAACTCTCTTTTAGGAAATGTTTAAAAAGCCATGCTGGGGCTTTTGCAACATGCCCAAGGACCACTCTCCAAACACTAATAGAATAAGAGGCCAGGTAGTGCTGTCTCAGCTATAACTCCCAATTAGATACCCTCATCAAGACATTTAGAAATAACTCTTAGTATTGATTTCAGAGAATGACTTGCTAAAGAGGTTGTGGTTCCAGAATCCAATTTATTTTCAAAATGCAGGCGTTACAGAGAATCAGAGAACCTTGGAAGAAAGTCAAGACCATATGAAAGAATTCAGAATATAGAAGCTGCATAGAATGGCATCTGGCTAAATAGCAGCTGTCATATTCCTTAGGACTCAGCCCTGGGGTAATCTTTTGCTTTAAAGGTTTTACTCCCAAAAGTTAGGTTGAATGACCAGAGCATCGGCAGTACTTGGAAACTTGTTAGAAATGCAATATGCCTACCAAATCAGCATCTCATTTTAAAGAGATCCAGATGCACATTAAACTGATTTAATGTGATTCAGATGTATTTATTTGACAAGCACTGCTGTTGTGCAAGAGTCGACATATTTTTTTCTGTGAAGAGCCAGAGAGTAAATTATTTTTTATTTTGTACTGGGGATTGAACCCAAGAGCGCTTTACCACTGAAATTACATCCTTGGCCTTTTTTATTTTGAGACAGAGTCTGAGTTGTCAAGGCTGGCCTTAAACTTAAAATCTTTCTGCCTCTGTCGCTTGAGTTGCTATGATTATAGGCCTATACTACCTGGCCAAGAGTAACTTCTTTAGGCTTTGTAGGCCTTAGACTCTGACAGATTTTCAACTTTTTTTTTTTTGAACTGGGGATTGAACTCAGGGGAACTCAACCAGTGAGCCACATCTCCATCCCTATTTTGTATTTTATTTAGAGATAGGCTCTCACTGAGTTGCTTAGCGCCTCGCTGTTGCTGAGGCTGGCTCTGAACTCATGGTAGTCCTGTTTCAGCCTCCTGAGCCACTGGGATCACAGGTATGCGCCACCACGCCCAGCCAGATTTGCAACTATTGCCAAAGCAGCCATAGGTAATATGTAATGAATGGTTATGTCTGTTTTCCAGTACCACTTTATTTACAAAAACAGGAATTGCCAAACCTTGCTTAAGATGCAATATGGCAAATGTCAAATTTTAGTTGTTCTTTTTTGTGAAAATCTAGCAGTTTGTGCTCATAGCTGGTTCATAAACATTTTTTTTTCCCTTATGCTTTAGTTATCCCACTAGCTGATTACTATATCATTGCTGGAGTGATCTATCAGGCACCAGACTTGGGATCAGTTATAAACTCCAGAGTGGTAAGTGTTCTTAACACAAAAGAAAACTTTCAGTTTAGCTGCCCTGTTTCTAAGAATCAAGTAGGAGCTCTTTTGTGTAAGTGGTATAAAGTACTATTGGAATGTCTTGAACATTGTTTACTTTAGGCCAAATCAATACTAATACACACAGTTGGCCTTCTGTATTCACAGTTTCACATCCATGGATTTAACCACTGTACAGTGAAAATACATTAAAAAAAAAAAAAGAAATACACCTGTGCTGAACACATACAGATTATTTTCTTGTCATTATTTCCCTAATAATACATTATAATAACTATTTACATAACATTATAACATTCTGATAAGTATTCTAAAAATGAGTTAAAGTATATAGGAATGTGTATGTAGGTTATAATTCATTTTATATAAAGAATTTGAGTATATATGAATTTGGTATCTGAGAAGTCCTGGAACCAATACAGTATAGCTCCAGTTATATACTAATTTAATTAAGTTCTAAAAAGTACACAATTGCTATCTTTGCATATGTAACATTTTGTGACTATTTACTTTTGGAAATTTGGTTGACCTAGTAAGAAATTTAGAATTTGTTTTCTTATTACAAGCTTACTGCAGTGCATGGCATCCAGTCAGCTTTTGATGAAGCTATGTCATACTGTCGATATCATCCTTCTAAAGGATATTGGTGGCACTTCAAAGATCATGAAGAGCAAGGTACGTAGAACACCTAAGCCCTTCTAAAATGGTTTTTGAGCCTCTAAGGATGAAACTTTTTTTTTTTTGTGGTACTAGGTTTGAACCCAGGTGTGTTCTACAACTGAGCTACATCCCTAGCCCTTTTTATTTTTATCTTGAGACAGGGTCTAAATTGCTGAAGCTGGTTTTGAACTTGTGATTCTCTAGCCTCAACCTTCAGAGTCTCTGGAAATACAGAAGCTGTTTTCTTTAGGATGATGACTATTAACGTTTTTCAGGTGTGCTTTACTTATAGGGTAGTGACATTGTTACAGTTGTGATTCATATACTACATGTGGTAATAAAAAGTTTCATATAGAAACATAATTTATTCTGATAGATAGCTGATAATCTTTGTGAAGGTGATTCAAGGTTTTGAAATATTTGGAGCATAAAGAGGAGAAACAGTGATGAAGAAAAGCAAAGATGTTTCCTACTTACCTAACTATTGAGTCATCTTGGAATTTGGAACCCTTTATCTTCCACTCTTCAAAGTGGGGAATAGAGGTGTTGCCTTTAGATCTCTATTTCCAGATGACCAGGCTGTTTTCTGATGATTCTATGTTATCATCTGTCATAGTATCAGGTTCCCTAGTTCCCATGGTTGCTTACCTATTACTGTTCTTGTGTTAGTCAGCTTTGTGTTGCTGTGACCAAAATACCCAACAAGAACAACTTACGGGAGGAAAACTTTATTTTTAGCTCACAGTTTTAGAGATTTAGGCCATGGTCAGCAGACTTCATTACTCCAGACCCAATGTGGGGCAGAATATTATGGCTGGAGGGCAGTAGCGGAGGATAATTGTTTACCTCATGGCTGCAGAGAAGCAAAGAGTGGAGAGGAGCTGCAAGGAAGATGAACCTTTCTAGAGTACTCCCTCAGTGACCCACCTCCTCAAGTCAAGTCCTATCAGCCTACAGTTAACACAAGGTTAGTCTACTCAAACTATGATGGACCAGTTAGGTTATAGCTTTCATAATCTAATCATTTTATCTCGGAATATTCCTGCATTAACCCAGGAGCTGTTGGGGACATCTCATATTCAAACTATAACACTTTTCCACCATATTTTACCAGGAAAACCTATTCCCAGAAATGTGTTTTTATATCTGGCTTTTCCTTCTCTGAGCATGACAACTCATAATACATTACTATGGGAAAGGTAGCCATTATATAGAATTCAGACCTTTGGAATGGTTTTCAGATATAGTTATTTTAATTCCTAATAGTAGCTGTAGGCAACAACATTTGATGTTGGAAAGTTTGTCTTAGTTGTCCCATGGGCTATTTTACCTTACCTTAAGAAAGTTTGGACTAATACTTATCTGGAATCCTTCATTAAGAGATAGTTCCCCAATATCCTTCCTGCTACCAGTGCAAATCTCATATGTGAATAACTTTACAATTTCTCTTTTAGGTTTTTTTTTTTTTTTCTCCTTGTTTTTGTGATCTGTTTTTGTTTTGTTCAGTGGATCACAGTCTTTATAATTGAGCATGGTAACTTAAGTTTGTGAAACATGCTTATTCCATTTGCTGCTAGAAGATTTTTTGGAAAAAGATCACACAATATGCTAACAATATACAAAAACAATTTCAGACCAATAATCTGGATTGTAATTTAGGTAATTAAAGCTTAAAACAGTCTACCCATGTTTATATACTGAAACTGCGTATCTTTAAAAGATATGTATGCCAGCTTCTTAAGTTTTAGAATTGAACATCATTTGCTAGGCATGGTGATGAACTCCAGTAATCCTAGTTACTTGGAATACTGAGGCAGGAGGATAGCAAATTTAAGGTAAGCCTTGCCATCTTTGTAAGACCCTGTCTCAAAATGGAAAATTAAAAGGACTGGTATTATGGTTTGGATATCAGGTGTCCCCCAAAAGCTTACATAAAAGACAGTGCAAGAAGGTTCCAAGGAGAAATGATTGGATTTGAGAGTCTTAACCCAATCAAATTGATAGGGATTGAGTGGTAGGGTGAGGCTGGAGGAAGGGGGAATTGGGGTGTGGCTTTGGGATATACATTTGTATCTGGCAAGTGGAGAACTCTTTCTCTGCTTTCTGATCATCATGTGAGTTGCTTCCCCCTGCCACACTCTTCCACCATGATGTTCTGCATTATATCAAGCCCCCAGGAATGGAACCGGCCTTCTATGGACTAAGGCCTCTAACACTGTGAGCCCTCAAATAAACTGTTCCTCCTCTACAGTTTTGCTGGTCAGGTCCTTTAGTTACAGCAGCAATAAATAAGTACATACATATATACATACATACATACTGACTAAAACAACTGGGAATGCAGCTTAGAGGAAGAACACACCTGGGTTCAATATCCTCAGTATTTTTGCCAAAAAAGAAGAAAAATTCATTATTATGTGCTGTGTTTAGCATATATGGGGAATTGTGTTGGTATAGCAGCCATTGAAAATAATGATGTTTGAGCCTTGTGTGGTGGTGGATGCCTATAATCCCAGTCACTCAGGAGGCTGAGGCAGGAGGATCACAAGTTTCAGGGCAATCTCAGCAATTTAGCAAGGGCCTAAGCAACCTATTGAGCCTCTGTCTCAGAATAAAAAATAAAAAGGGTTGGGGATGGGTGAAGCAGTCCTGGGTTTAATCTCTAATACCCCTCCCCCACCACAACAATGAAGTTCAAATATTTCTAAGTGGGTCAAGATTTGTAAGATGACACAACAAACTGATTAGGCAATGTTTTGATTTGGATTTCATATTTTAATAGATAAAGTCAAGCCTAAAGCCAAAAGGAAAGAAGAACCAAGCTCTATTTTTCAGAGACAGCGTGTGGATGCTTTACTTGTAGATCTTAGACAGAAATTTCCACCCAAGTTTGTGCAGGTAATGACTATGTGTGGCTAATTTTAATTTGACATTTTTTTTTTGGTGACATACATGTTTATTTTAAATTGACAACTGTTTCAAGTATGACCTAAAATGACTGGTTTTCCTGAGTAGTTAAAAAATTACCTCTGAATCAAAGGGAAGGTATCAGAAGACTAAATGGAAGAAATGAATAAAAGGAGTTGTGTTCCTTACTAAATCTTGCAAACTATGAGGCTGGCATGTAGATAATACTCTAATTCAAAAAGTGACAAAATTAGAATATAAAACTCATATTCTTTTCACTCTACAAGCTGACTTTCTAGCCTGTTATAGTAGATATTAAGCTCCTTAAATGATGGAATTCTTTTGTAACAAAAAATAATAGGTGGGGCATGGTGGTGCACACTTGTAATCCCAGCAGCTTGGGAGGCTGAGACAGGAGGATTTTGAGTTCAAAGCCATCCTCAGAAAAAGCAAAGTGCAGGACTGGAGTTGTGGCTCAGTGGTATAGCGCTTGCCTAGCATGTGTGAGGCCCTGGGTTCGATCCTCAGCACCATATAAAGATAAATAAATAAAGGTATTGTGTCCATCTACAACTGAAAACAAACAAACAAACAAAAAAGTGTTAGGGCTAGGGTTGTGGCTTAGTGACAGAGTGCTTGCCTAGCATGTGTGAGGCCCTTGGTTCGATTCTCAGCACCATATAGAAATAAATAAATTAAAGGTTCACCACCAACTAAAAAAATATTAAAAAAAAAAAATAAAGCCAGGTGCTAAGCAACTCAGTGAGATCCTGTCTCTAACTGAAATACAAAATAGGGCTGGGGATGTGGCTCAGTGGTTGAGTGCCCCTGAGTTCAATCCTTGATATTCCCCCAAAACTAATAGAACGTTTGTGATAGAGGGTTTGGTCTAGTAAAGGGGTAAGTGGGAATACTAATTGAGTTATACCATATTGGTATTTAAGTTATATGAATTCCACAGTGTGGTATATATATTACTATTGTGGTCACAATAGTAAACCCATCTGCCGTCCCACTAAATGAACTTTTAAAATGAAGTGGTTAAGAGATGGATTATATGAATATGTCATTTTCATGGTTAGTCTTTGTTCTTATGGAACTTTATAGGATTGTGTATATCTACGATAGTGTATACTGTTGTTCCTTGAAGCTATTTAAAGGATTTTCAAAGGTAGTTTTAAATTAAATGAAGTGTTTCATACTATGGGATGACTTTAGAGTAGATCTCCCCTTCCTCTTTTGCAGACCTTTTATAGTGAGAAACATGTGTTATTGGAATGGTTATGTGGTAGTGAAGGGAGCAGAGGATGCAAATTGGAATATAGGACAAGAAAGCCTGTTTAGAAAAATCTGGTGAATTATATTTGAAAATGGAACAATGTTTGTTGAGTAAGTAAATGAATGAATTATAGCTGTATGCCAGGTGATGAGCAACCACTATAGGATTTAAGAGGTTAGTTGTGGTTGGCCATTTATTCAGTGAGTATTTTCCAAATAGACTGAGGGAGGAACACCTGGATGTTCAGTGTTCAGTACAGTAGCCACTGGGCACATGTATTGAGCATTGGAAACACAGCTAGTCCAGATTGAATTGTGATATAAATGTAAAATGTACTAGATTTTAAAGACAAACCAAAACAAATTTTTTAGATGTATTTCATCAAATGAAATATAATAATCTTGTTTCTTTTTAAAAATGTGACTAAGAAATTTAAAATTGGGCTGGGATTGTGACCCCATGGTAGAATGCTTGCCTAGCATGTATGAGGCACTAGGCGATCCTCAGCACCACACAAATAATAAAATAAAGGTATTGTGCCCATCTACAACTAAAACAGTATATATATTAAAAAGAAATTTAAAATTACAGATATAACTTGCATTTGTAACTCATTTCTTTTGATCTAATTAGTTATACATGACACTAGAATATATTTTGATACATCATACGTAAATGTAGTATAACTTCTCATTCATCTGGTTTACAGATGTAAAGTTACACAGGTCATGTAATCATATGTGCACATAGGGTAATAGTGTCCAATTTATTCTATCAATCCTACCCTTGTGCCCCCTTCCCTCCCTTCACTCCTCTCTATCTAGTCCAAAATACCTCTATTTCCCCTGCTCCCCCTTATTGTGAATTAACATCTATATAACAGAGAAATATTCAGCTTTTGGTTCTTTGGGTGGTTTTGCTTAGTATGATATTCTCCAGTTCTATCCATTTACTGGCAAATGCCATAATTTCATTCTTCTTTAAAGATGAATACTATTCTGTTGTGCATATATTCCACAATTTCTTTAACCATTCATCTGTTGAAAGGCACCTAGATTGGTTTCATAGTTTAGCTATTGTGAATTGAGCTGCTGTAAACACTGATGTTTCACTCATTTCTTTTGAGTAATGCTGATCTAAAAAATAGTAATAGAAAAACAGAAAGGTGAAGAGTATTAGTAAACATGTGCTGAGAAATTGAAAAATGCTTTGAGGAAGAAAGGGAATAATAATGGAAGATGAGACATCAAAAATGAAGGTCAAATTGAGAATGATTTTGTATGCCATGCAAAGAAATTTGGGTTTATTCCTGAAGAACAGGATTCACTATTTTAAACCTATAACTCATTACCACCTCCATAAACATAGCAGGCTTCCAGCTGCATTCAGAGGTACTTGAAGTATTAAAATAATAGCTATTATCATTGGAGATAAGTCAAATCAGTGTTAAATATTGTGTGTGTGTGTATACATATGCAAACACACATATATACGTTTATATACACAAATACATATTGATAGTTCTGTACATCAAAGTCAGAGCCTTGTGTATACATGCACTCTAACTCAGTTACATCCCAAGCCCTTTAATGTATACATTTTAAGTGCATACTCCAAAGTACTAGTGTATTAGAATATTTCTCTTCCCTATCTTCAAGGTCACTTTTAGTGACCAGCTAATATTCCTATTACTTACGGCAATAGATACCTAATGGAATTTTTAAAAGTAGTTACAGGAGAGTAATATATAGTAGTCCCCGTATATATGATTTTGCTTTCTGCAGTTTCAGCTATTTCAACCATGGTCTGAAAATATTAAGTGGAAAATTATACAAATAAATAATTTGCAAGTTTTAAATTGCATCCTGTGCTGAGTAGTGTGATGAAATCTTATGCCATTCTGCTGTGTCCCTCCTGGTAAATGATCATTCCTTTGTCCAGTAGATACACACTGTGTGTGCTACTTACCCATTAGTCACTTAGTAGCTGACTTGGTTATCAGTTGTTTCATCACAGTGCTTGTGTTAATGTAACCCTTATTTTACTTAATGTCTCCAAAGCACAAGAATAGTTATGCTGATAGTTTGCATATACTAAAGTAAGCTGTAAAGTGCTTACTTCAAGCGAAAAGATAAAAGTTCTCAACTTAAAGATAATTATATGCTGTGATTGCTAAGATGTATGGTAATAATGGATCTTCTATCTGTGATAATGTGAGGAAGGAAAAGAGAAATTTATGTTAGATTTGCTGTCAAAACAACTGTAATTAAAACAGCAGTGTTTAAGTGCTTAATTAAGATGCAAAAGCCATTAAATTTGTAAGTGGAACATTAGAACACTAAACACATTCTGATGAACATTGTGTTGCACAAGAAAGCACTGAGTCTATATGAAGACTTCAGCAAAGGATCTCCTGAAATTAGTGATACTTAGCCATTTACTGGAAGTAAGGGATGTTTACACAGATTTAGGAATTTGGATTAAAGAATATAAAAATTATTGGAGAGGCTGTTTGCTAATGAAGAACTTGATTACAGCAGTATTTAACCTGATTTAAGGAGACATATCATGAGAAGGCCAATAGTAGTCTAATACTTTGTTAAATTGTTTATGTCATTCACCTCACTTCATATAATATAGGCATCATCTCACATCAAAGAATTGTGAGTATGGTACAGTAAGATTTTTAGAAAGAAGCCACATTCATGTAACTTTTATTATAATATATTGTTTTAATTGTTCTATTTTATTATTACTTATTGTTGTTAATCTCTTATTAAGTTAAACTTTATCATAGGTATTTGTAGGGAAAACATAGTATATATAGGTTTGGTACTACTATAGTTTCAGGCACCCACTGAGGTTCTTGGCAAGTATTTCCTCCAAGGATAAGAGGATGATCATCTTCACTTTGTATTATAGAAAGATAACTAATAACAATGTAGGGGATGCTTAGGAGGCTGAAGTTTGGAGTCAGGGAATTTAGATTGAAGAAGGTCTAAATTTATTCTGTGGACATGGGATAGAGAAGAGACAGATTCAAGAGATATTTCAGTTAGGATAACTTAAATTTGGAGGGTGGGTTTGGTAAGATTGGCATTAAAGATGATTCTGGTGTTTGAGGCCTAGAATTAGACTAGGTATTGCTTGTTAACCAGAATTCAGAATATAGGAAAAACAGTAGATTTTTGTTGAAATATAGTTGTTAGGATTTTGTTGACATTGAATAACCTTCAGAATATTCAGCAACTTCTGTGTTTGGGTTCTGAGGTACTCTGATGAGTGAATACTCTATTTTTCTGGCTGAGAGTCCTGCCTTGAATCATTTATGCTATTCTGTCCTGATGAGCTAGACATAGACTTAGCTCTTCAAACAAAAAAAGCATAATCTTATAGAACATGAAAATTTCAAAAATATACAAAAATAGAATAATGAAAAGCAAGGAACTGGGGATATTGCTCAGTGGTAGAGTGTTTGCCTAGCATCCATGAGGCCTTGGCTTCAATCCCTGGTACCATAAAAAAAGGTGGGGGGGGGGGGATAGAAATTCCCATGTACCTATTGCCTTGCTTCAACATTTATCAAACATGGTTCATTTTTTTCCACTTCTTCCCAGTTATTTTCAAGCAAACTCCAGTCCTCATATTATTTCAGTAAGTTATTTACATTACATTTTTCTTTTAAAAGGTTTGACAGCATACACACTATGTTGTCATTTTCTTGAACCCCACATTTCTTTTAACTATGCAGGGGTCAATGGCTAACTCCCCCCAAAAGAATATGTAACAAAAATAGGAAAATGATGGCTATCTCTAGAACTACCAAAAACTTTCTTGCTTAAACCTAGAGATGCAAATAATCCTAGGACCACTTTTAGCTCATTTGAACTCCTGTTTACCCACAGTGTTGCCTCAAATAACTCACTCGCAGGTCAGCATGAGCAAAGAAAAACAAGCAGAAGAAGCAGAAGAAAAAAATTCTCCTTTATTTTATACAGCAGTCTTTTTATAGTATTGTGAACAAAGAAGGCAGCCTTCCAACAGCAATAAATCAGGTCTTTAGGCTAGCTAAACATAGTATACAGAAGTAACTTTCTAATCAGAAGTGACTTGCTTAATGGCTTAATCTACTCTTGGGCCAGAGCATTCTGAGCTCTGCTCTTTGTTAAGAATAGATAAAAATTTTCTTAGCATCCTCCTAGCTCACTTGACAGAACATCCCGTTTTCGGGAAAGCCCTGCCAAGGACAGCAAACATCTCGTTTTCAAGCATTTTTGCTGTTACCTTATCTAAACCTGATGGAACATCCCTTTTGCGGGCAGGCTCCATCAAAGACAGCAAACATCTTGTGTGCAAGTATGCTTGACATTACCTTATCTAGACCTTGACAGAACATCCCGTTTGCAGGCAGGCTCCATCAAGGACAGTAAGCATTATGTTTTCAAGCTCGCAGTCACATCTGATTCTCTACACAGTGTCTTTTCTAAAATACTTGTAGCTCAGAATTTAACTTCTCCTTATCCATTGTTTTTAACAGCTGGGTTTCTGGTACCCAGGGATATTGATTTATCAGGGGGTGAACAGGAGAATATTGAAGCCTGGACTGCTTCTTTGCTGTCTCCTTTTTCTGAATTTGAATTATTGTTATTGCTGGAGTTAGAATAGTACTGAATATATTTTCAGTAATTTTTTTGAGAGTCTGCTAGAACACAATAGGATCTTACTTCATTGAGGTTTATCCCAAGTCCTCATTACATTTGATAAGAAAGGCACTCCTATCTTTTTTGCTCACCTCAACATATTCTTCTAGTTTGTCCAGCAGTATTCACTAGAAAACATTAGTCAGTGTAAGTTGGGTGAATAATGATGTTATTTCAATGTCTTGTAGTGTTCAGATGCTTCAGAGTAGCTATATGAAAATTTTCCCATCTCAATTTTTTTCACTCCTTTCAGTGTCACTCTAAACATTTCCTTCTATACATTTAAAGTGATAAAAATTATTTTTTCCCCAAAGTACTTGAGACATGTTTAAGTCTTCATATATTCACAAGATAGGTGATATGTGGCTGTGTGTGGGATTCCTCTGCTCACTCCCTTATTTTGGAGATTTGCTAGAATGATTCACAGGACTTGTCATATAGTTGTATTCAATGGCTGATATTTATTACTGTGATATGGTAAGGATATACAGCCAGATCACAAAGGAAAAAGACATAGGTAGAGTGTATAGGATTCCATGTATAGGCTTCCTTGTACTTTTTCCTTCCCATGAGAGGTTATGCAAAATGTACTCCTTTTTCAACAATAAAAATGCAGCAAAATGTATATTTCTGCCCTGGGAAATCCATTAGAGACTCAGCACCTGAGGTTTTTTTGTTGTTTTGTGGTAGGGAAGGAGATGGGTTCAGCATGGACATTCCCTTTGTATAGCACATACCAAAATTCCACAGTTTCTGAAGGAAAGTAGATATTCAGCATAAATTACATTATACAAATAGTCTAGGCACAGCCAGCTACTGTTAACAGGTAGAGGATGGTGGGAACTGCCTCAGTCTGGCTGGGCACAAATACCGCAGTCTGGCTGGGCACACAATCACGAGCCACCACACAGCTTGTAGATTCAAACAGCAACTCTTTATTCCCGAACTCACACCAGCCGTCTACAATCACGTTCTGGGGAAATCCACGTTCTCTGGGCTTCTATCTCCAAAATATACTGTCTGAATCCCGTGAGAACTCAAGGGGAACTCAGGCAGCAAGATACGCCCTATTCCCAGCAGGAATAATCTTAAACCTTAAACCTGGAACCTAAACCAGGAACGCCCTAATCCGCCTTGGTCCTTGAACAAGGTCACCTACATTCAATGTCACTGCAACATGGGGTACGCTGGCAAGGAAATTGTCATACCTACTTGGCTAATGGCTCCCAGCAGGGAACCCTCCCAAAATTAAAGTTCCTAGATATACTAGCCAAGGGCCAACCTTGCAAATCAGGGTTTTCTCAGGATGGCAGTTTCAGGCTTTCCATAGTAACCCTTTTCTGCATAGTGAGTAAAAATATAGAGCTCAGCTTTTGGTTTTGTCGAGTGTAGATGTTCACAGTATTTTCCATTGGAGTGGGCATTTTGGTAGTTGACATCATGAATCTAGAGCATGTGACACCAGAATATGAGTCACGGGAATAGGTAGGAGGATATCTAAATTCAGAAAGAAATCTGGAAAACAGATGAAGGTATTAACTTTAGAAATGAAGAAATTATTTTTTTCTTTTGAGATACTTTAAATGTGTATGTGCACGTGCATGTGTGAATGAAAGGTGTAAGTTTGCAAGGAGATTGGAAGTAGTGTTGGCACTTTATTGTTTTGACATTTTGCTTTTAAACATAGGATGTAAGTGTCACTGGCTTAGAGGGAGTAGTAAGCTGTGAGCCTTGAAGAGGAAGAAGGTATTTTAGAGCATTTAATTTGTGTGATTGGACAATGGAGCCTAATCAAGTTAAAGCATTTTTTGTTCCTGACCTCTGATGTCCCCATCACTTTTCCCTGCACTTCAGTTGTTTTTGTTTTTGTTTTGGTACTGGGGATTGAGCCCAGGGGTGCTTAATCTGTAAGCCACATCCCTAACCCTTTTATATATTTTATTTAGAGACAGGCAGGGTCTTGCTGAGTTGCTTAGGCCCTTGCTATGCACTTTGATTTTTTAATGGATCACTTGCTGCATGCCTTACGCTCATAGGAAAATACCTCTTTTCTCTCCTTAGTTCCCATGCTTGCATCCAAACTTTATTCTTCTTATAGTTTATGTCCTCCAAGCAAATAAGCCTCTGGAGTCTTGAAGTCTCCATTATTTTTCTCATTGGATTCTACTTAACTACTATTGTAAAACATTGTAACCTGCAAGTGGAAGCAGAGGGCTTTGTTAGATGTTCAAGGGTTTTTATGGTTGTTTTATTCTGTTTTAGTTTTATATTTGTCTTTTCTGGAATGGGGTATTCTCGAGAAGTAGAAAATGACAGATTCATTTTTTATGGAACACGAACAGCAATATTTCTTCATGAAATCATTTATAATGCAAATTTGGATGGAGGTGTCATTTTATTAAGATTTGTAAAGTCAAGAAGAAAACCTTGCTAACCTTACTATTCTGTTTCTTCTTTCTTTTCTCCCCTTCCCTGTTTTTTAAATTATAGCAAAAGTCTGGAGAAAAGCCTGTTCCAGGTATGGGTCATTTGATACTCTTACTAAACTTGAAACAGACCAAACAACGTGTTTAATGCATGTGAGATGTGCCATGGTTATTTTTTCTTAGACTCTCCCATTGTAGTTTTTCACTCCTAACCTTTAAGATCTGCTGAATTGCCAGTAGATATTGTATCTGTGATAGCAATACTAGTATTTAAAAGATGAATTAAGTGGAAGGAGTAGATATTGAGGAGGTATGAAGAAGTTGAGGTTATTTGAGGTGGTTTTTTCACTGAAAACAGGAATTAAACTATCAGTGGAACTGATGGAATAATTATGTATCTTAATTATATCTCATACATACATGATATCTGATTTAAATGCCATGTATTCTTCTCTAGTTTTGTACATTTCCTTGAGTTAATAATAGGTTATTAGGTTTATAACTGGAGCTTATTCAGTACAGCTGCCTGAGGAAACAGGTAAATGTGGAAATTGAGATATGCAGTTAAAAGTGAATTTGAGGACTGGGGTTGTGGCTCAGGGGTAGAGTGCTTGTCTGGCATGTGTGAGGTACTGGGTTCAATTCTCAGCACCACATCAAAATAAATGAAAAATAAACATTGTGTTAATCTACAACTAAAGAAAATATTTTTTAATAAAGTGAATTTGAAAGAGTGTTCATATTAACCATTGTCTAAATTTATCTCATTCTTTCATCTTCATTCCTCTAAAAAAAAAAAAAATCTGCATTTGATGTCCAGTGGATCAAACAAAGAAAGAGGCAGAACCAATACCAGAAACTGTAAAATCAGAGGAGAAGGAAACCACAAAGAATGTCCAACAGACAGTGACCACAAAAGGTCCCCCTGAGAAACGGATGAGACTTCAATGAGAATTGGACAAAAGGGAAGCTTGCAAGACTCCTCTTATCAATTATTATACCTCAGTACTATGGTAGGCTCTTCGAGCTTTAAGATACTTGGTCCACAGCTCTCTGATTGGTGTGGAATGTACTTGTTTAAGAAAGGATGTTATCCCCATCTTGCTTTCTATATGACTATTTCCTAAGTATCTTTTGTAACCTTTTATGATCTGGACTTAAGCAGCCTGCTTACTCTCATGTGTACTGGAGTATACACCTTTAAAGACAAAATAAAGGTATTTGTTTGTTCATGGCTTTTTCCTTCTTAGCTATTTGTGAAAATTTTCAGCTGCACTTTTGAGGACATAAAGGATTAATGTTAAATTTTCTTGTATTAGTTGCATATTCCTCAGTATTAAAGTAATTTGGGAGATAAAAGAAAGGAAAAATTTAATTGATATCGTCATACTATAGCTGCTACAAGAGTCTTCTGAATTTTGACTCCTTTCTCTATACATAGATAACTTTTTAAACCAGTTTGTAATTATTCTGTTCATATATTTACTTTATCATGTTATTATGCCTGTTCTAAGAATTTCCTTATGTTTACTTAGTTTTTATACAACATCTATTTTTTAAAATTATTGTTTAGTTGGGCTGGGGTTGTGGCTCAGCAGTAGCACGGTCACCTAGCACATGTGAGGCCCTGGGTTCAATCCTCAGCACCACATTAAAAAAAAAAAAAAAAAAATCAGTGAAACAAAGGTATTGTGTCCAACTACAACAATATTAAAAAAGTTATTTTTTAGTTGTTAATGGGCCTTTATTTATTTATTTATTTTTTTTGTATGTGGTACTGAGAATTGAACCCAGTGCCTCATGCATGCTAGGCAAGCACGCTACCATTGAGCCACAACCTCAGCTCCACAACATCTGTTTTAGTGACTGAATAATTCCTCTTAGTGATTGTGTCTCAGGTTTCTTACACTTTTCTTGTGTTCTATTGGGATACTTTAGTGATTATATTTGTGTATAATGCCTTCTCAATGTTTACATTTATATTTTTAGGAAAAATTTCAATATCAAATTATTGGATGTTCTAAATATCACTCGACTCTATATTTTTATTGCTCTAAATCTATATTGCCAAATCTCCCTCCTCCTTGGCCATATCACTTTTTTTTTTCCAAATCACTTTAATGTACAACTTTTAATGTACTATGAAGTCTGTAATTTCTTGAAATTCTCACCTTGCTCTTGTGAAGAGTTGAGTCTATGCTTTCTGTCTTAATTATCTTAGGGATATCTCATTCTTCATCTGTCTACTGGGAGGGATCTAGATATGTAAAATGACTTGTCCAACTCTGTTGCCTCCAGCGGCCGCCCCCATGGGGCAGCCTCTGAAGAGGTGGCCTCCTCCATCAGTGAAAGGTGCCAGATGAGTCAGAGCCAACATGCTTCCAGCGTGTGAATAGCTATTTCCAGTCACCTGCCCTCACCAAGTTGTTTTTCTCAAAAGGTCTGGAGTAATCAAGAAGCAAACTATGAAAGTATCAGGTTAATCTCCTACCACTGAGAGTTGTTACTTATATTTTTAGTGCTCAATAAGCAGCAAATACTGTTTTATTATCTAAAAGTTATGGAAAAATTTCTCTTCTTTGTTTTCTACTTTTATGAATGTCTGGTTTTCTGTGAGGTTTTTGTTTTTTTAGCTTTTTATTTTGGTAAAATTTTAGATGTACAGGGAAGTTGTGAGAATAGTACAAAGAATTCCTATATATACCATGTACCCCAAATCCCCATATGATAACATTTTCCATATTTTATCCTTTCCTTTCATTCCCTAGCTCTAACTCTTGTTTTCACTTGCTACTCTGAGTGTGTGTGTAATATGTATTATATACACATACTTTTTTTTAGATTCAGTAGCAGTCATGCCATTTTCCTAAGTACTTAGTCATGCCTAAGTACTTTAGTATGCATTTTGTCAAATCAAAGACGTTTATCAAGTATAGTTGTCAAAGTAAAAGTGGTCTGTCAATCTTACCACATCTTGTCAGTGGTGCCAGTAATGCCATTTATACTAAAACAGAATCCTGAATTGTGCATTGGATTTAGTTGTCATGTCTCTTTAGTTGTTAGTTTCCTTTAATCTGGAATAGTTCTTTTATCTTCCTTATTTTTCATGGCCTTGATATTTAAGAATTCAGGCCAATTATTTTGTTGGATATTTCTCTGGGTTTGTGTAATATATTCTTCATAATTAAATTTACCTCAGATGCTTATGGGAGCAAATGCTGTCAATTTGTCCTATTTCTGATCATTTTATTGTTGATCACTCTGTTAAGGTAATAGTGCCTATCAAGTTACTTTAAAATTATTCTTCCTTATGTAAGTTGTAGGTATCTTGTGGGGAATTTTTTTTAAGGCTCTGTAATTGTTATTCTTCAAACTTCTATCCTTTAATTAGCCTCCACTGATAGTTCTTGCCTGTGTCATTTGTTACTGTTATGGTGCCCAAATAATTTTCTAATTTCATTTTTATTTATGTTTATTGTCTTTCTGCCATAAGTAAGAGCTCTAATTTCTTCACTACTTATTAATTTCATTATGGACTTCTGGATATTTATTTATTCAATGGAATATATTACTTTATATTCATTATTTATATTCATGCACAAATTGTCCCAGATTGGGCTAATAAGAGCCCCTTTAAGTCAATTCCTGTGTCCTTCTGATATGACCTTATCATTCATTGATTGTTTTCTTTGCTTTTTATCATAGTAAGATATTCCAGGTTGATCCCAACCTTGAAATCAGACATTTCTTTGAGGGTTCCTGTTCCTTTTAGAGAATGGCATTTGGAAATCATGATGTGAGCTAGGTGTGCTTTTTGCCATTGGGTTTTCATTGCTTCTAGGCCCTCTCATCTGACAGGAAGGGGGGAAAAGCACACACAAATACACACATGTGTAAGAGAATATACATATACACGTATATCCACATCATGTCTCTTCTGTCTAGATTAAAAGCCATCATCACTTCACACTGATGCCTGTACTTCTGATCTATAATCATGAGGTTCACTCTGTTCTCTTTTATATTAGTAAGCTTCTGCCACATTGATAAGAATTCTGGCTACCATTATCTACAGTATGTTTAATTGCTTAATCCTAGAATTGCACAGTAATTTTAGAATTGCTAATTTATATGTCTGCACTGCAAAAAGAGCCATTAATGAGAGTTAAACATGGGCTTAGTGGGGTTTTTTTTGTCCTTTATTCTGAAGATACGGTTCTGTTCTGTGTTAAAAAATTACTTAGATTCTTTTTTCCTTGTCAGTGTTTGGTTGTGGTCTTCATTTATTAGATGGTTCAGTTCAGTTTTTTGTTTTGAATCTTACTTTAGATTTTTTTCTCCCTTTATTCTGATTTTTTTTTTTTTTTGTCTTGTTGTATTGTTTTGGGATGTGTGAAATGTTACTGTAGTTTTCAATGTCAGAACTGTCCAAAACAGATTTTATATATATACCCTTTTCTTTACATCTTCTATCTTTTCCAACTCATTCCCACTTACAGTCTCAAGGTAACTGCTGTGGTTTGAAAGTATGTTCTCCAAAGGGCCATACATAAAGGCTTGGTCCTCAAGGTAACTGTATTGGGAAGTACTGTGGGCCCTTAACAGGTGAAGTATAGTAGAAGGTCCTTAAGTCATTGGCTTACCCTTGAAAGAGATTGTGGGATGCTGGTCTCTTCTTTCTCTCTGTTACCTGGCTTGAGGCGTGAGTACCCATTTTGAAACGTGATCCCACTATGATATGCCCCCCTTGACAGAAACCCAAACCATTGGGACTTCCCAATCTTGGACTTGTATCAGAGACAGGGTCTCACTGAGTTGCTTAGTGCCTCACTTTTGCTGAGGCTGGCTTTGAACTGCGATTTTCCTGCCTCTGCCTACCGAGCCACTGGGATTACAGGCATGTGCCACCACGCCCAGCCTCAAAATTAATTCCTTTTTATATCACAAGTAGCTTTTATCATGGATTTCATTACTGTGACTCATAGCTGACAACCTAACAAGTGTCTACTGTATTTCTATTTGCACAAATGAGTAGATATTTTCTTATTTCCCTTACATGAAAGGCAGCATGTTATATAAACTTTCATTTTGTTTATTTTCTACTTAGGTGTGAACTTTTAACATAAAGAAATTAACTCCTTATTTGTTATTCTTTCTTTTTTCCATTACTTTTTTTTAATTTGAAATCATGCAGACTGTTTCCTTCATAATTTATTACATTAGAAATCAATCACCTTAAGATTTATAAAACCTCATCCCCACACATCAACAATTTCAAAATTAAATGGCACACTTATAAATATCTCAGAGGTCAAGGAAGAAGGCACAATAAAAATAAATAAAAAGTGCTTTGTACTAAGTTATAATAAAAGCTTAAAATATTGGGATCTTTGGAATGAAAGAGTACTTAGGTGAACATTTATAACTTAAAGTACTTTTACAGAAAGAAGCTAGAATTAATAAATTATTTTCAAATTATGTGATACGAATTAAAAATAAGTGGGAGCAGAAACAAGAAATAGGGAAGATAATATAGCTAATACAGAATAATACAGCTAAAATTTGATAAAAATCAAAGATGTCTAATCAAGAAAAAAACAAGGACAAAAAAAATTAATGGAAAGGGAACTCTCAAAATAACCCTACTGATACTGAAAATATTAAGGTAATATTGTAGTTGTATGCCAATGTATGTGATACCTTACATAACATGGTCTATATTAGAGAAGGATCTGTATGCTGCTGAGAAGAAAGTATTCAGTTACTCATGGATGAAATATTCTATATATATATCTGTTAAGTCTGTTATTGTCAATTGAATTTTTTTTTTACTTCTATGGCTTATTTAGTTTTTGCTTGGAGGATCTATCCAGTGGTGATAGAGGCATGTTAAAATTACCCAGTATTATTGTGTTGTAGTCTATTTCATTCTTGAACCTGAGAAGGGTTTGTTTGATGTACATACATGCTCTATGGTTTGGAGCATACATATTTATGATTGTTATGTTTTGTTGATGTATAATTCTCTTAAGTAATATGAAATGTCCTTCTTTGTTCCTTCTGATTAACTTTGGCTTGAAGTCTACTTTATCTAATATGAAGATGAGAACGCCTGCTTGTTTATGTGATCCATATGAATGATATGGTTTTTGTCCCATCATTTAACCTTCAGTCTGTGGGTGTCTTTGTCTATGAGGTGAATCTCTTGGAGACAGCATATTGTTGGGTCTTG